TTTTAAATCTTCTAAACTACGGTATAGAGATAGACTAGCGTGATAAAACAAAGTTAAACAAATAATTGTTTTGACATCCGTCAAACGAGATGGGTCAGTGATCAATTTTTCTTTTTTAGAACAAATCTGTATATTTTCTATTATTTGATTAAAGATAACTTTCATTAACGTAAAGATGAAAGAAATGATGCTCGATTTCTTTTATTTAAAAAATTAACTCTTCACATAATACAAATTGTGTCATATCACACTATCCACTATGCATATTGCCTTTTGAAATTGCTAAAATTACAATTATAGAGATCGCTCATGAATATGTACAGTTTTAATTTGACTTTTCATTTTTCCGGATAAATAGACGCATGTCACACAGACATTCTGACAAAAGACAATTATAGAAGTAAGATTATAGTATAGAAAAACTATCGTTAAAAATATTGAACAAAAAAAAAACAAAAAAAAAAACAAATTTTTATCAACTGTATTTATTGTGAATATTATTTAAACATGTCTATGCTAGTCAGATACACACATAATTTAGAAATAAATTAATCTTCTTAATAATAAAAAATAGAAATTAAATAATGTAAGATTAAATATCTCCAATTTTTAATTGTATGATTAAAAATAGATAATAAAAATTGCTCATTTTATTTTCAATCAAATATAATTTCATTGCACAACTAGAACGTATATTTAATTCTGTCTGTTTTTTTTATCATCATCATGAGAAAATATTCAGTTTTCCAAGAGATTACGTGTCACTAAACTATTTTTAATCTAGTTCCATGCATTAAATAAGATATCTTAATCGTATGATATTAGTATAATTCATGTTAATATTCTCAATTCACATGTTATAGTTTTATCTATAAACGAAAATTATGGCTGTATATAACACAGTTAGTTTTGTACAGTTTCATCTAGAACTAAATTAATTCGGTACAAAACTTTAGTGTTTTATTTCCTGTAATAATTATTCTATATGCCATATATTTAGGAATAAGAATAACAGAAGTCGATTACAGTAATATCTGTTTAATAGAATTGTGGATAAAAAAATTGTTATATAGACCAAGATTCATGTAATCATAACGATGTTTATTGTTAATTATTATGTTTTTTTTCAAACTTTTTCCACGTTTATTATTATTTTTATTTCACAATTCACTAGTTTTTCTAACAAGGGCAAAAATAATTGAAAGATTTATCAATATCAATTATTTTTATTATTTTCAGAAATTTTTTCTTATTATACTGTAATATTGATAATAGAGAAGAAACAATTCAAATTACAATTGTTCCTATGAACTGATGGCCAGTTTTTCTTCAATCAAACAGGAAGTACTACTAGTTCTTTTCAAAACTACTAAACTAGAACTATTTTACTACTAATTGATAGAAATAAAAATTTTATAAAAAATATAGATTATAGACATTATTTAATATAAGAAAAATGACCTCATTAATATGTTCATGAGAATAGACAGAATATTATGCAAAATATTTAAAGACTAACCTCTATAATGGTAGTAGGAAGCGCAATGAGTATTTTAAAACTTTTATTACGGAAAATCATATTATTAACAGTGAAATACATTGTTAAATGTTAGTAAATTTATTTCTACTGTTAAGCTATCGATTCAAAAGCAGTTAGTTTGTTTTCATTATGTGTTAGATTATTCGATGAACTCATGTTTCAATTTGCCATTTGTATTTCTTCTCTCAACGGGACACTCTTTTTCTATCCATAACAGTAATTATATCGAAAAATAGTGAAAAAAATGTTATGAAAATACAAATGATCTATCTGAACTCGACTAAATTAGATTCGTCTATTTTAACCTTTAACAAATAGAATTTCGAATAGTTTTACTGACTTATATGAACAAAAATACTTTCAACTTATCAGTCAGTCATCATCAATATTTAGCTTAGAGATGCACAGTAGAAGTTATGTCAATAGTCAACGTTGTCTCTTACAAGAGCACAACAGGAGCATAAAGAAGAGGTGAGACACTGATATCTAGTAGTTTCTAAAATGAAAGACATGATAGTCTGATGTAAAATTGATGAAGTGGATGTATATGTGTGTGTGTGTGTGTGTGTGGCAGTGATAAGTATATATTAATTATTTTGTCATAACAATCTGTAAGTGATGTATCATTTAATATTTTTCTGATAGTATTTTTTTTTTTTGACTATGTTTCTGACAAATCTTAATTTCAAACGATTTTATGAATCATTTATTTCTATCTTTTGAAGATCTAGTATCTGTTAGAATTTCATCACCTTGATAAATTATAAGTAAACGTTCTAATGACTGAAAAGGCATATAATAACTTAAATTTTCTAATTAATTATATTCATATCAGTGGTCCATTGTATTATTTCGTTCAAAGATATATATGTAGATAGGTCATACATTCATCTATGCTAAATAAGCGAAAAGAAACTGATGAACGTTAGAGATAGTTAGACAGGCGATTCTGTTTTTCTTATTAGAGATAGTTAGATGATCTTGATATTAACTAATAATTAATTATTTGAAAAAAAAAAAATACTTTGATGATAATAACTAAAATAACAATTATTCTACATTTCTATGACAATATCAAAAAAATGTTAAAAGAAAATTGATTACATAAATTTTAAAATAATATCACAGCAGAACTGGTAAAAAAATATTGGCAAATTTATCTTATGATTATATAAAATAATTCCATACCATAATCTATTCTCACATTAGGCTAACATATTTGTATCTGTTAGTGACAAGGACAAAAATTAATCAATATCCACATACTATCACAATAATTGTAGCACAGTTGCTCAATTATTATGATTATTTTCTCTTTCGTTGAGACAAAAACGTGTTGACATTTTACACGAAAGATATCATTTTTCTCTTTCATATAATTAGAGTGAAACATATTTAAAACGATGCAATATTATATTATTTGATAATCATCTCATCATCTATTCAATTTCATAAGTTGTTTTTTTCGTTTTCTAATCAAATTAGAAATTTTCTCTTCAGATACGTTATGTATTCAAATAGTGTAAGTATAGTAAGGTACTGTACATCTAATATATCCATTATTTGTTCAAAATTTAAACGGTTTAATGAAGCGCAACTTGTATTTATACAAAAATATGATCTTCTACATATTTATAAGAGGAAATTTAATCTGCTAGCTACTTGATTAGTTGAAAAACCGTGACAAATTGGTATACTCATCTATACCTAGTTACACTAATGAATTTTTTACATTGTTTATTGAATAAAACTCATTTTTTTTTTGAGAGAGAAAAATACCTATTATAAGGATGTTAGGGCAAGAGTTGAGTAGGATAATTTGTTTGACCACTATGAGTAGAAAAATTTTTTAAATGCATCAGGAAATATCATGAATTTAAAAGTAAATCAACTGAATAATAACTATTGACCAAGAATAGACATTTTAATATGTTGCATCATAAATAAAGAGAAAGTGAGTTCCAAAGATCTTTTTAAAATTCTTATTGATGTTAGAAACTAACAAATGTGTGGATGATTAAAGTACTTGATTTAATTATTTGATTAATCTGTTTTTGATTGGAAAATAAATTTTTTCCACTAAATGATGTAATTAACCGTGTACAGGATTTACTTTCCGTTGATTACTTTTTATTTTAATTAATTTTTTCCCTATAGAAAAGAAGAGATATATGTACTTCTTACTATAATGGATGTACTTTCTAATAATTAGATAAAAAATGTATCCTAATTAAGCAATCTGATATACAGGGATTTACTTTTCATTAATTTGAAAAAGGTATGCAATTAATGAGCCAGTTGGCTAATGATTGTTCTTCCTTCAGGAAGTTTGAGTAATACTCACAATGTTTGTTTGAATGAATTCAGGTAGTTATCAGGGTGAGGACGTTTATTATGACCAATATAAAGGTTGGATAAACTATGCTTGTCTCACAGTTATTCCAATATGTCTGCTAAATTCGTTGAATCTATTCATGGTAAAAGACAACTAAGTCATTTTGACTAGGGATATTTTTTTAAACGTAAAAATCAAAATGATTAAGAATATTGGGTATGTGTACAATGCCAAGCAATAGCAACAATTTATCCAGATTTATCGGTCGTCGTACGTGATGAGCACACACATCTATCAGATAATATCTTGTATGAAAATTAGAAAATCATTAAAAAGTAAAACTAAATGTACAAACAAATTGTATTTTTGATCACGAAATTTTCCAGTATGCATCTCATATTTTTATTTTATTTCTCTTTCGAATGGTGAAAACCGCGAGTCGTTAGCTCCCGATACTCACTATACTATATCCAGTGTTATCGTTCATTCAATCGAGTTGCTTTATTTTATTCATTCCTATGCGCTATATTTAATAATTCTATAAAATTTAAATTGTGTTTTCAACATATTCTATTCCTCTAGTAAGTATTGCTTCATTTATATTTTTCTTGGCCATTCTAGGGATCTTCGTTAGTCTGATCATCCCCTCACTCGTACGTATTTTGTCTAGTATCACAAAAATAGTTTATTTTAGCTAAGAATCATTTTGACACTGCATTAATAATTTTCATGATATGATACTAACTGTTGCAATTCAAAGAATTTTACTTAACTTTTATCTCAATAATACAAACAACAGAAGAAAAATATTGTTGTTGTATGCTTGCTTATTCATCATACACACACTGTAAATCGATGAGCACTGAAGTCAGATCTTGTACAGCGTTTCTCTCTGTATAAAGCGGACGGTCTGTTGTGTGTAATCGAGACATGTTGAAAAATTGGATGATCAAAGTTATCTTTTTTTGGTGTGTATTTGTATCAAAAAATGTTTGGTAATCAAAATAATTGATACCCAGTATACCAGCTTCAAAACGTCGAAAAAAGTAAGATAATGACAGATGAATGCTTAGTAAAATTATGTCAACGTTATGACGATGGACAATTGATATTTCAACTTTCTTAATGGCTACGGGTATAAGATACTTTCAGCGTCCTTTCAAACGTTGATTTTCATAATTTTTGTTCTTATATTTTGTTTATTTTTGGCTACGTATGATCTTCACATACGTCAACTGATAAACTAATTGTATACTTTTTCCAAATTAATGGAAAGTAAATCAATTAGTATATATTTTTTATCTAATTATTGGAAAGTAAATCCATTATAGTAAAAAATACATATATCTCTTCGTTTCTGTAGGGAAAAATCTAATTAGAATAAAACATAATTAACGGAAAGTAAATCCTATACACCATAATTAACTATAGTCAGTTGTACACCCAGATCAATACAAATGTGAGATAACTTGTGTTATAGTGTACGTAAAATGAACGTATTTTACCGAAAAACAACGGTTGCTACTTTTCTGTAAACGTCGTTACCTGTTTTAAGTATATGTAAAGATATATGAGTGAAGTGTAATTAGTGTTTTTTTTTTGCAACAATCAAAGCACAGTCAATCATTAACATTTGACAACCATTTAATACTCTGTTGTTGTATTTGTGTGTTCATGATTGAAACCACTGATATTGTGTGTGTATGTTGTTTTTATTCCCTTTAGGCTTTAATTTATACTCTTTTGAGTTTTCAGCCGCCTCATATCTCCATTTTCATTTCGGTTAATCCAATTAAAGTCATATGAGCAAATGAAAAAAGGTCGGCACTATTTTCAATTAGTGAAACATCACAGCAGCAACTATACTATACTGTTAAATCGATTATATATAACGTTCCGTCCTACTGTTAGATGTATTCATATACCTAGTCAAACGTGTATAACTGTTGTAAAACATAATTATTTGAAGGTCATATAATCATCATCATTGAACAGAATAAATCTAATGACTATAGAACAATTTGTTCTCTTTCATCAATCAATAAGGCATATTTGATGTGAGAGAAAATGTACCGCATTAAGTTGAATACAAACCACTCGCAAATATTTTTTCTATTGTAGTCTATTATTCAGTAAGAACTAACCATTGTCTAATTTTTCTAGTAGATTTTTCGTCACATACCAAATATGAATGAACACTGTTGAATAAGATACGTATTTAAAATGATTAACAAGGGTTATTGGTGGCTTAAAATTTGTTTTATTGTGTCATTTTGTTCATCCAGTATTCAATTTGATCCTGGTAACGTTTTTTTATCCACAAATAATGTTATCAAAAGTAACTGGTTATCTTATTTTTAGAAACATGTCAACAACCAATTGGACTAGAAAATAAAATATTAGATAGTGCATTTAGTGCAAGTAGTATTGCCAATAAAAACACACAGCCACACTATGCAAGGTATAAGTAAAAATAGTTGACAGACGAGAAAGTCTATTTCTAATTTTTCATTTATTTATAGAATTCGTTCAGAAACGAACGGATGGTGTCCATCCCGTCCAATAACACCAGATACTTATGAATATTTGGAAATTAATTTGATAAACTTAACAGTTATAACTCTTTTGGAAATCCAAGGTGGAAATCAATTGAAGGTATCGTTAAATCTAATAGTTATAGAGGTAATACATGTCGTTTGATCTCAAATTTAGAAGGAACAATTTGCTGATTATTTTCGATTAGAGTATAAGCGTCATGAAGATGGAGAATGGATTAGATATAAGAGTTTTACTGGTCAAGAGGTAATTATACATAATAACTACTTGTCTTTATGTTGAGATATTATTCTATGATTTTTCGTACAGAAATTGAATGGAAATATAAATAATTATATACCGGCTATGCGAGAAATTCTTCCATTAATTGTTGCACGAAGAATACGAATTATACCTGTAACCGATATATCGAAAAAAGTTTGCATTCGTTTAGAATTATATGGTTGTCCGTCGAAAGGTATAGAATCAGAAATTTTCATTAAAAAAACATGCGTTTTTTTTCTTAAATTCACTTTCTACTACTAGATGGTTTGTTATCATATTCAATGCCTCAAGGAGACAAGAGAGGATTTAATATGTTGTTCATTGATAACACCTACGATGGTAAAAATTTAAATGGAACATTAATAGGTATGACTAGTTGATGAAATAAAGAAAACAAAACGATTCAAATCATTTTTCTTATTTTTAGACGGTTTGGGTCAATTAACTGATGGTGTATTAGGTACAGATAATTATTTAGCCGATGGTGGAATTGGAAAAGTTGGTTATGATTGGATTGGATGGAAAAAAGGTCCAGAACGTTTATCATCCGTTGATCTAATATTTAATTTTGATAATCAAAGAAATTTTTCATTGATCAAAATTTACACAAATAATATGTTTTCAAAAGATATTAGTTTATTTGACAGTGTAACAATTGCAACAAGTTTAGATGGTTTAAAATTTGAATCAGAATTAATGTATTATCCCATACATCAAGATTATTTAAGTATGAAATCAAGATTTGTCGAAATTCCATTGAAATTTTTAATTGGAAAAACTCTCAAAATAACATTATTATTCAATAAAAAGTGGATACTAATCAGTGAAGTTAAATTTGAATCATCTGTCATTTTATCAAACACGATTCGTAAGCCAAATACTATTAGACATTTATTTCCTATTGTTGCTGAAGGTAAGTAATATATAAGTGATAGATTCATAACCGATAAAAATATGACTATTCTCGTATTTAGATAAATTATTAAACAAACTTCAACAATTAAAATATTTACTTGTATCTATTGTTGCCTTAATTGTATCAATTGTCATATTAATTGTCTTCACTTTACGATGTACACAAAACTGTAAAAACAAACAAGTGAACAAGTAAATAATTTTATTTTTTAACATAAAATTTTGATATCACTAATCATATATTCTTGTGTTGTTTCGATAGAATGAGTACTTATTTGGGATATACGCCAATTTCAATCAAATTTCCACATAATAAAATTGGTTGTTGTTATAATAATAATACACGAACATTATCTTGTATGTATATTCTAATGATACAAATTTAGAAAACAAAACTAGACTTGACTTTATTTTTTTAGCTGATGGTAATTCCACATGTAGTATATCGAATACAGACGTTAGACAAAATAGTTCTCCTCATCAAACTCTCTTGGTATTAACAACCACATCATCAAATCATACGCCTAAGAATACAGTCTATCAAACGTTAATAAATCCATATTTGACCGCCACAACCGATTACGAAAACGATAATATGATTGTATGTGTCGTTTTTCACTTTTAAAATATCATCTATTACTTACTATTGTTATTATTTTATAGACAAATCCATATTCTTCAATTGATGTGTGTTCAAACGATAAAGAAGCAACAGATGAACCAATAAATATTCAAGGACCATGTGGAAATTGTACATATGAAATGAAATCAGATGCTAATACAGTCTCATCACTATTAGTTGTCAATGACGAACAACTTATCGTTGAAGAAAAATTTGGATCCGGTACTTTTGGAATGGTAAATATTTCAAAACAAAATTTCGAGTATTACATGTATCATTCTATTTTCTTTTTTATTTAGTTATATCGTGGCTACGTTTTTCTTAGACATCCTGAAGATACATTAAAATCAGTTTTAATTAAATCGCTTAGTAATAATGCCAATGATGAAGCAAAGTAAGCTGTTTCGATGTGTAAAGTAGTGTTTGATTGACATCAATATTCAATTTTTATAGAAAGTGTTACGAGAAAGAATATGAAATACTTAGTCAGATACAACATGCAAATATTACCAGTTTACTTTGTTATACAACAAAAAATAATTATCTCGTCATGGAACATAGTGATTTAGGTGATCTTTATACATTTTTATCCATCACATCAAAGGAGAAAAAAAATTTATCGTACGTAAAGAACTGTTCTACTCTTTGATATTATTATCTATTGTGAATAAAATTTATCTTTAGTACAAATATTCGTCTTTTGTTCACAAATCAAATAGCAGATGCTATGTGTTATTTGGAATCTAAAAATATTATTCATCGTGACTTAAGTGCGAGAAATTGTCTTATTTATCCAGAATATGAATTGAAACTAACAAATTCAGCTATGGCATCTCCTCAATTTTCAACACACTATTATCAGATTAATAACAAGTTATATCCGTTACGTTGGATTGCGCCAGAGTCTATTGCAAAAGTAAGTAAAAAGGATTTTTTTAATTAGAAGTGACTAATTATTTATTTTCTTCGTTCATTCGCAGACTCGATTTACGTCTCAATCGGATGTATGGGGATTTGGCATTTGTTTATGGGAAATAATGACCGATTGTAGCTGTCTGCCATATGCAACATTGTCAGATGAAGAAGTATTGTATTGCCTATTGGCCATGTCAAAGACACCAGCAGTAAAGAAACGCCTACAATTGTCACGACCAGAATGTTTGTCTAGAGAATTACTTGATCTAATGTTAGAATGCTGGCGACCGTATCAAGATCGACCAACATTTAGAGATATTCATAAATTTTTAAATAACCGAACAGATGGAATGATGCTATGATGGCATTTATCGAGGAAACAGTTTTACTGTCTATTTTGTTATAACTTTATTGTTGTTTTCTTTTTCAGTGTTTTTTGTATCAAAAAAATGATATGTATCTGTGTTGTTTTAGTATGTACACAGAGCATATTTGGAAACACTTTAACTTAGATTGTCAAAATCGAACTGTCCAGCTTCGACTTATCCAACAAGAAATTTTTAACACGATTGAATGTCTCACAAAACCTTGCTGCTTTTTTCTTACAGTGACAAAATGACTATTTCAGAAAGTATCATTCAACTCAGAAGCAATTTTAAATATCTGATCAATTTACGTTAGTGAAAAATAATAAAAAGCACGTTGTCTCCTATCAAAACACGATTTACAATAAAATCATGTGTTTCTCTTACTTCACCTACTAAAAACGGGTAAATTTTAAACGCACAATCTTTCGTCCAACGTATGATTGTTGATTTTAGTTTTTTGTTGACGTTTCTTTATATTCAATTACTTTATTTAATGCGGTTTAGTTTTAATAAACTACGGTAAATGTTGTTAAAAAGATTTTCTTCAATTCAGTAATTCATGCATTTTTCGACTTTAGTATTGTCTTTTTGTATTTTCTGCATTTCTTCGTGTATATACAGGCCAGCTGATCAAGTCGCTTACTTTGCTACCCTATTTTCTTGATGGTTCAGTATTTCTCTTATTAGAACATTGTACAGTACAGCACTTTATGATAATATGTTATGAATGCGAAAATTGTACAGATCCATTTAACAACACTTCCTCGGTAGTTCTTTTTTTATGTCATACATGTTATGTATGCACGTTACCTTACTGTATCATTGGATTAAACATTTTAAAATGCAGATTTTTTTGTTTTATCTGATAACTTTTGGTTAGTATAACTTATGCACCATCCTCGTATATGATAAGAAAATATATCTTCACTTGCTTAGTAGCGAATTAAATGGTTGATAGTGATTCGGTTGTTTCAACTTTCTGTGCAAAGAATTATTGTAATTCAAAAAATAAGATGCAAACTTCGGTTATTAGTGTTATAATATTACTATTACTAGCATCATTGTGCAGAATCTGTCAATATTTATGATCAACGTATCATGTTAACGATTACACTAATGAGAAATAATAGTACTATTTATATTAAGTCGATTGGGAAAACCCACTGTACATCTTAGAACAACTAGACAGACTTCTGCCTGCTCTATTTTTCATCTCCTTCAGGCGAGGTTGTTCTGAAAAATAGATCTAAAATACAGTCTACCACTGGTCACTAGATGAAACCATATTTTAATGTATTTTATATTAAAAGCTATTTAACATGTAAGAAATACACTATGATGTTGAATTTTTTTGTACATCAACATACACTATAAAAAAATGACTTGTTCATTTGTTTCATATAAGGAGCTGGTTTTGAGATTCTTCAAAGCTTAATGCGAGATCTTGAATTTTGACAAAAACTTATGTCGAGTTCTTTCGTTTTTTAGAAAATTCATACAAATTTTTTGCAAAGTGAAAGCTTATAAGAAACAGAAAACCATTTCAAGAATACGGGAGAAATGAAGAACCGGTTTCCCTTTGTTATTCGAGTTCTCTAAAAGTTCGAAGAACACACTTTTTTTACCATACAGCATGAAACCTTATGATCTCAGTATTAAATACATTTAGTACAATCAACTGTGCACTTTAAAATCCTTAATAACAAAAAACCATTAGTCAACTGATAAGTAAGCATTGTATATCATATAAAGTACGGTAAATAATGTTGGTATAAATCCAGTAATTTTTGAATACAACACGAAATTAGCCGCGTTACAATAACTCGTCCCACAACACGTTACGGCCACTGTTGCTCCACCGAAATCTCCACCCGTTTCCACACACGATGAAACACATTCTTTCACGACATATTTTCCTGGATGGTAAGCAACTGTTACAGCTAATTTCTTCAAAATAAAAGCACTTACAACTCTCGAACGAATATAACAAACTGATAAGCACTCACATAACATTGACTACAACTGGATGGACTTAGTTGTGCAGCAGTACTATTGAACGGGTCTCCACAATCGACGCACGTATAACAAGTAATTGTGGACACTTCTGATATTTCTAAAAATAAATATAATACAGTCATTTACAGCAATAACGGTTATAAAATAACACAGAAACCACTTAGTGATAAAACGTCTTTGAGAATATACGAAAGCAGTGTAAATAAGTAGCTCATTCATATAGTTTAGAATGAATAATATTTAAGAAAAGGGCACTTGCACACAGATTCATCCACTATATACACGACTGAAAGTCGAGAAGATTTAAGTATATGGATACAGTAGTACTACTAAAAGTATATAGAAGCCCTCAGTCGACTATTGAACGAGTTATTTCAAACAAAAGATTTTCCCCTGCCATAAGCTGTGAATTACAGCATGCTTGGAACTTTTCTAACCGAGTGTTCTGGAAATATTATAAACATTGGAGTGCTCTCTTTTCACTAGCTGCATAGTGCGTCAAAATATGCATTTTTTCTACCAGAAATTGCAGTTTTATTCTTTATGTGTAATATAATTTGGGTTGGGCAAAATAAAATCTTACAAAAATTTATAACTAGTGGAAGCGACCTCAGATGCTTGCACAAATGACGCATTCGTTTTGTCTGACTGGACTCTTTATCGAAACCCACCCCCTCAAAAACTGTACATTAACTTTTAGAAATACTGGCTTTCCAAACACTACTCATCTAGTGCTGCGAAAGTCACCAGCTTGCACATTTAATCAGAAGTGTTTTTATTATGTCGACAGACATTTGGTGTTTTTGCTGGAATTTTCTTCATTTTTTTTTGTTTAGTCATTTTTTTTACAAAATGTGCACGACGTGATCCAGCGAACTACACTATGTAGAAAAGTTCTAAAAACCGAAGAATAATCTCGCGATATTAGAGACTGATCAATGTACGTTCTTTTTTTAAACATAAGCCCAGATTCGGCGCCATAAGCTACACAAATAGAACTAAAATGTTTTTTGGACTTAGAAACTTTTCGTGTATTTAGAAGAGTTGATTGTTCGGTGCCATGTGTTCTTAAAACGAAATATAACTAGAATGCAATTGTGCTACGCACAAGTTGCGATGTCGACAGCAGGGTTGCCAGAACTGGTGACTCATGGGAGACGGAACAAAGGATCACCATGATGATTTCTTTGTTCCGTCCCTCATGAGTCACCAGTTCTGACAATCCTAGTCGACAGACTCTGTCTATAATCAATACAGATATATTTATTTGACATTTCGTCTCAAGAACAAATAAATACACGAAAAGTTTCTAAGTCCAAAAAATGTTTTAGTTCCACCTGTGTACGTATGGCTCCAAATCTGGACTTAGTTTTGAAAAAAGAACGTGCATCGATCAATCTCCAATGTCGGGAGAATATCGCACTTTTCCAGAACTTTTCTAGCTTTCGTAGTTCTCTATATCACGAGGTGCACATTTTGCCTAAAAAAGGGACGAAAGAAAGAAAGAAAGAAGAAAATAAAAACAAAAAATCCCAGCAAAAACACATCATGTCTGTCGACATAATTGTTATTTAATTCTTTTTCTTTATAAATAAAACAGTAGGACATTTAAAAGCTGAGTAGAGATTTTAATTTAAATTTTTTAATTTCTCGTCTCTGTCTCGGTTAATATGACCAGGGTCTGTCGATATCGCAACTTGTGCACAGCACAATTGCATTCTAGTTTGATAGTATTATACATGATAGCATTTCAGCACGAGAGTCGGCGATTGAAAATGGTGATACTTTCTTTTCGGAATGAAAAATAACATTGAATTATAAATAATTCTTCACACTGGATACAAATCAAAGTTCAATGTGTGTCGAACTATTCGTCTAGATAGTTTGGGTGGTCGATAGTATTCTGGAAAAAATCTCTTACAGAAAACGTATTCACAGTGTGAGGAGTCCTGCAGGTTAAGCCCAACCTAACCTAACTTATACAGCGTACTAGTAAGAGTGAAAGATGACAGAACGCAAAAGGGATATGGAATAGAAAGAGAAAGAAAAGAAGTTCTATTTTCATTAAAAGATGGCGAATATACAACAACATCAGAACCAACATCTGGGCGTCTATTCAGCGCAAGCGGTCCTGTATTAGAATAAAGAAAACAAGCTTTAAATGATGATGTTATGAACGATCGTTTGTTTTTACGTAATATTAAAAAAATGGGATTTTTTGGGTTGCCTTGTTCCAGAAAAAAATCGCACAAGTTAAATTAGGTTAATCTAGGTTAGGTTAGGTTAGGTTAGGTTAGGTTGAGGTTATGAAAGTTTTTATAGATTAGCTTATAGGTTGCTGAAAAGGAGTAACCTACAGTGCTCTAATGCGAATATAACATTCTATACATTTAGAGTTTTAATAGCCTCGGTAATAACTTGTTAGCTCAGCAGTGTCCGAGTATGTTTAATCAGTGGTATTGATTCAAATATGATTTTGGCAATACTTTAAAATGAGAATATGATTGTTACCGTCGTTAGTATACTCACTTGCAATAAGGTACAGAAGAATAAAGATACTGCACAACCGCTTCATCTTTTTTATTGTTTGAAGTGAAACATTACGAAAACAGTCTGATTTTAAATGAATGTTTTTTTACTGTTTACTCTATGACAAAATGCACAATTATAAAACAATTTTTTATCCTTAACGCTGTGATTGCTAATCCTTTCACTCACTTATGTCCGTCAGTTCTATGAAGTGTTTCTCGAATTGTTTTATTATAGCGGACGATGGAACAAATTTGAAATGAATATATTAATTTATCACAATTTATTAATACATTTAATCGATTGACTTTTGTTGAGTTTGTATTGCAATTATTTATCATCATCATTATTCGTAAACAATAAGTTCTGATTAGGACGAACGTGAACTCATGATGATATGTTGTTGTACTTTGACTGATAAGACTAAATCATATAATAATTATTTTGTA